TGTACGCAGAGAGGGCCGAGGCGCGCCGGTGAGCGGGCCCACGCAGCCGCCGAACGCGGTGGGGGGTGGTACGGCTTGTCCCAGGAACCGGGGTGCGGTGAGGTGGGAAAGAAGTTGGGGCCCAGAAGTTGGGACCCTTGGACTTGTGAGGGTCTCTGGTCCGGAGCAGGGTGGGCATCGAGCATAGTGCGGGGGTCCTGGCCATGAGAGGGGGGTCGGGTTTGGGGGGGCAGTGGAGCTTGCGGGAACTCAACGGGTCTCAAGGCTCTTCTGCTCCCTTCATGCTGTCCGCGTTGCTTCCCTGCTCCCGGCTCGCAGGAAGCCCGACATCCCAGTGCCCTACCTGTACTTCGACATGGGGGCGGCCGTGCTGTGCGCTAGCTTCATGTCGTTTGGAGTAAAGCGGCGCTGGTTCGCGCTGGGGGCCGCACTCCAGCTGGCCATTAGCACCTACGCTGCCTACGTCGGGGGCTACGTCCACTACGGGGACTGGCTGAAGGTGAGCGCCCCGGCCCTAGGCGGGACTTCGCTAGGGTGATGGGGAGCCCGAGGCCAAGGCCCGGGGCAGTTGGGCAATGCATGGTGCTAGCCAGGTGCACAGTGCGAAGCCTGGAAAGGCGGAACTCCCAGCCGTGTGGAGATTTTTACAGACTGCAAGAATGGAAGGGCCTTAGAGACCACACAAGCCTTCCTTTCAGAGTGTGGAAACTGAGGTCCAGAGATGGGGAACAAATTTTCCCAAAGTCATAGGACAATTAGCATTACAGGTGGGACCAGAACCAGGTTACCTGGTTCCCAGAACGCTTTAAACCATTAGTTTAGTAATCTCAGACTCATAGGGCAAAAGGGACCTTGGAGAGTACCTGGTGTAACTGTGTGATTCTATGAAATTTAATTAACCCTACTGCAGCATTTAAGCCTGTAAATGCCAGAACCTGTGCCAGGCACTGCAGGCTTGGAGACAAGCCTGACAAAGGCACTACCCGCAAGGAATGGACTGTCAGTCCAGTAGGGGAGGCAGATGTGTGAACTGCTACAGGGCAGTGAGATCAATGGGTTTTTTTGTGGAACAGACTCTATACTATATAGCAGAAAGAACATTCGGGTTGAGTCTCCAGACCTGGGGGGCAACACTTGGTATCTGGGTTCTGCCACTTTCCCTCCCTCCCTCCCTTCTTTCTCTCTTCCCTCCCTCCCTTCCTTCCTTTTCTCTCTTTCTCTCTCTCTCTTTCCCCCTCCCCCCCTTTCTTCCTCCCTCCCTTCCCCTTCCTCTTCCTTCCCCTTCCCTTCCTTCTTTCTTTCCTTTCCCCCAAAGCCCCAGTAGATAGCTGTATGTCGTAGTTGCACATCCTTCTAGTTGCTGTATGTGGGACGTGGCCTCAGCATGGCGGGAGAAGTGGTGCGTCAGTGCGCGCCCGGTATCCGAACCCGGGCCGCCAGCAGCAGAGCGCGCGCACTTAACTGCTAAGCCACGGGGCCGGCCGTGCCACTTACTTTCTGTAGGACCTTGGACAATTTTATTACCTCCTCTGTGCCTCAGTTTTCACTTCTGAAAAAAAGAATTATCTATCTCTGCTGTCCCTGCCCACCACACTTGGAATGGTGAGAGTGTTCATCAGATGGAATGGGATGTGTAGAGATGGGCAGTTTTGTGCTCTAGGCATTCAGGAGAAATGTGGTGGCTGCAGTTCTTGACTGGGGTCCCCTCGCTTGGCCTAGGTCCGTATGTACTCGCGCACAGTTGCCATCATCGGCGGCTTTCTTGTGCTGGCCAGCGGTGCTGGGGAGCTGTACCGACGGAAACCCCGCAGCCGTTCCCTCCAGTCCACCGGCCAGGTCTTCTTGGGCATCTACCTCATCTGTGTGGTAGGTTGGGGGACTGTTGGCCGGAGGTGCTTAACCGGGAGTGAAATGTCAGTGCATGCCTGACAGAACCCAGGGAAGTGGGCAGAACAAGGCTTTGCATGTAGTTCCTGATGGCTTGGCTCCTGGGAACTGCCCCTGCCAGCTCCTGGGCCTCATGGCCCCTCCAAGTACCTGAGACCTGGCTGAGAGGCTCTTCTTCCAACATTATTGCCACCAGGGAGAGAAGAGTTTGGATTGCCCATTCAGTCCGAAGCCTGAGAGCCAGGAGAACAAGATGGACTGGTCCTCTCATGGCTCCAGCTCCCAGAGGACTGGGAGAGGAGACAGAGGAGAGTTCAGGCCACAGCTGGGACTCTGGCACTTAGAGCTGATGGGGTCTCCCTAGGGTAGCCAATTATGGTCCTCCCTCGTGCTAGGGGAGGCCAGTGTGGAGGAGGACATGAACAGGCCCCAGGCTATTTGGCCTCATCTTAGTTATTTGGCACCATATCCAACGTGCAGAGCTCTGTATTCAGAGGTAAGTGTCCCAGGCTGACTGGAGACACACTTCCTCCCTTCTGAGTGCCCAGGGTGAGGAGCTCCAGACAGGCTCCTCAGCCTGCGGGAGAGTCTTAGAGGATGGTGTGTCTCTAGGCCTACTCGCTGCAGCACAGCAAGGAAGACCGGCTGGCGTATCTGAACCATCTTCCAGGAGGGGAGCTGATGATCCAGCTGTTTTTCGTGCTGTATGGCATCCTGGCCCTGGCCTTCCTGTCAGGTTACTATGTGACCCTGGCTGCCCAGATCCTGGCTGTACTGCTGCCCCCGGTCATGCTGCTCATTGACGGCAATGTTGCCTACTGGCACAACACGCGGCGCGTTGAGTTCTGGAACCAGATGAAGCTCCTTGGAGAGAGTGTGGGCATCTTTGGAGCCGCCGTCATCCTGGCCACTGATGGCTGAGTTGCATGGCAAGAGGCTGAGATGGGTGCAGGGAGCCACTGAGGGCCACCTTACCTTCCTCCTTGCTGGCCCAGTTATGTTTATTTATGCTTTTTGGTCTGTTTGTTTGATATTTTCTTTGTGTGTATGTATGTGTTGGTACGAGGCAGGTCTTTTCCCCAGTTCCTGGGCTTGGCCCTTGTAGGGGTGGGAGCCCTGATGATGATGCCTTACAGGTTTTTGTTCCTGTTCATTAGGAGGAGAGCTGAGGCCAGCTGCTCCCCTGGGTCTGCCTGTCCCAGAGAAGGGAATAAGGCTGGGCTAGGGTGGGGATACTGAGTGGGAGACAGAGGAAGGAAGACCGAGAACCGGAAGTGAGTGTATGTGAAAATCCCTTTTGAACCTGGCAGGTACAGCTAGGCTCTGCTTTTCGGAGACTAAGAGTGAGTATGCATGTTGACATGTGGATGAGGCCCGGGAGGAGCAGAGGGGCTGGGCTCCACAGAAGTCACGTGGGTTCTCAGGGTATGCCAAGGGCAGAAACAGCACTAGCTGTCACCCACCTTGAGAGTAGAACAGGCCCCAGTCTACTCTGGGCTGTGCAGGGGTGGGAAGGCAGTGCCAGCTTCCCCCCTCCTGCCTTCTGTTTCCAGCTCCATGGTTGGCCTGGAGGGGTGAGTCCTTCCCAGACACCAGACTACACAGTCCTCCAAAAATAAACATTTTATATAGACATTTGGCTTTGCTTCTCTGGTCTCCTCATGGGGCACTTGGCTATTGGCTGGGATTAATCTTGGGTTTCTTAAAAGGCCATATCTGGTTAAGCCCTACCTTGGTCCTCTTGTGATCTTTCCCCTGTTCTGAGAGTCCCCACAGTCCTTTGGCTCTCTTTTCAAGCATCTCCTAATCCTCCCTGTAGTATATGCTTTTGACCTCTCACCTCAATCCCTCTTGTAGCTTGTCTTTTCCTCCCTATTTGGTGCCAGCTCTTTTTGAAGAAATCTTGGGTGACGGCAACTAGAGGGAGCGAACTAACATTGTGTCCACTATAAGGCTGAGGATTTTACATTTTACAGGTGAGAAAATGGAAGCTCAGAGAAGGTAAGTAGTTTGCCTCAAGCCACACAGCAAATCCAGCCACAGAGATGGATTCCAGGTCAGGTCTGTCCAATGCCCATGCCCACATGTATACTCAACACCACCCCTCCCCTGAGGGAAGATAAGGCTGCTCTTGGGGTTTGGTTCTATCACAGCCCCTGATGCCATGGTAGTCTCTTTTTTTTTTTTTTTGAGGAAGATCAGCCCTGAGCTAACATCCATGCCAATCCTCCTCCTTTTGCTGAGGAAGACTAGCCCTGAGCTAACATCCGTGCTGATCTTCCTCCATTTTATGTGGGATGCTGCCACAGCATGGCCTGACAAGCGGTGCGTCGGTGCGTGCCCAGGATCTGAACCCGGGCTGCCAGCAGCGGAGCGCACGCACTTAACTGCTACCCCACGGGGCCAGCCCCATGGTAGTCTCTTAATTGACCCTCTCCCTACTTGTCCATGCACCTCCTGACAGAAAGGAGCACAAGCAGCCAGCATAGTGCCTAGCACATTGCGGGGGTCAAAAATGTCAAGTGAAATCTCTGGCTTTGGACTCCTGCCCGTCTGAGGTGTTCTGCTCCTGCAGAGATGGAGACACAACCTGCAGTGGGGCCTAGGGGAAGACATCCAGGGCTGCGCTGGGCTCTGAGCCCTGCCTGCAAAGGGAGCTGGGGCTGCTGCCGGTCTGGTCTGTGGAATGGAGGATGTTTCCTAATAATTTTATTTATTTATTTATTTTTTCCCCCAAAGCCCCAGTAGATAGTTGTATGTCATAGCTGCACGTCCTTCTAGTTGCTGTATGTGGGACGCGGCCTCAGCATGGCCGGAGAAGCGGTGCGTCGGTGCGCGCCCGGGATCCGAACCCGGGCCACCAGCAGCGGAGCGCGCGCACTTAACCGCTAAGCTACGGGGCCGGCCCTAGGATGTTTCCTAACTTTGGGGGAAAGGAGCTCCTCTGGGGGCTGCTGACAGCCAGATGAGGGAGATGTTGGTGGCATTCATCCTGGGTCCTCCAACTCATTTAGCTCCTCTCTTCCCCTCTAGGAGTCCCCTGGCTCCCCAGCCCTCCAGATCTTGCTCCCAGAGGGTCACTGCTAATTTCCTTTCAAGCGTGAGCTGACCCGCAGACAAGTATTTGTGTTTTAATCAAGGCCTCCTGATAAGTTGCAAGACCCAAAGGAATTAAAATGAGTGGCGGTATATCAGGCAGACAGGGGTGATATTTTGGGAAAAGGAGCCTCAAAATAGCACAGAGGCCACAGGAACTGGCCCACCCTTAAGGTTAGCCCTGAGTAGAGCCCTTGAAGGCAAGCCCTCCTCCCCTCAAATCCCTAGACTGAAAACTGAAGGCCGTCTGTCTACCTGGTTGTGGCTTTGGAGCAAGTAGGGGTCTGGGGCAGGCCCTTCTCCTTCCTGTGCTTGTCCCCACTTGGGCGACCCCTCTGGGCAGAGTAGAGTAGGAGCTGCCTCCTCTGCAGATCACTCAGCCAACAAGCCTGGTCCAGCCTGTGGCTGCCTGGGGTCACCTCTGGCAGGCATGGCTTTTGGTCCACCCTGGCTGTTCCAGGGCCTGCAGGGCCAGTGGTGAGCATCAGCTGCCTGGGTCAGAGGCTGGCTTGCAGAAGGAGTCCGGTAGCCCCTTGGCATGGTTGACCAGCTCATAAGAGTCCCGGATATCGGCCAGGCCAAACCAGAAGAAGATCCACTGCTTGTTGGAGAAGCTGCCATCGCTGTGTTTGAAGTACCTGGTGGCAGGGGGCGACAGGACTTTTAGGGCAAGGCCAGTGCTCGCTACTCACTGGTTCATTTATTGAGGACCTACTACATGCCAGACACCTTGCAGGACCTGCTGCTGGTTATCTGATTTTACCCTCACAGCAGGAGCCAAGAGCCTGGTGTCGTTATGCTCTTCACAGAGAAGCAGCTAAGGCTCAGAGAAGTTAGGTAACTTGCCGGAGTCACACAGCTAGGAAGGTTAGAGTGAGGACGTTTCTTGCTCTCTCCACACTGCTTTGGCTGTGCAGCCAGTGGAGGGGTTCTTGTTCACCTCTTAGTGCCCACAGAGCAGGATAGTCGGGGGTGAAGGGATAGTTGCAGAAGGAATGAGAGGAGGGAGTGTTCTGCTGGAGATGCAATAGGCCTGGGCTGAGAGCTTGGCGACTGGGCCTGGAATAGAGCCTGAAGGGTCAGGATTTTTTGGGACCCTGGGAAAGGCAGACTGCACGGCAAGTGAGGAGTGTCTTCAAGGAATCCGTCGCAGCAGGGCAGAGGGGGTTAAGTGCTCTGCCTCTGGGGAAAGCTCAGGCTCCATGTGTGGCCGGCTCCCTGGGGATTGTCGGGCCACACTGAGTGGGGAAGGAAGGCTAATGAAAGAAGGGGAAGCCCAACTTTCTTGGCTGTTGGACCCCGGTTACGTGGCTGGCAAGAGCTGGAGAGGAGGAGGAGGGCGGGGCCTACCACGGATTGATGGGGTTGGTGACCCGCGAGCGCCAGAAAAGCGTCTGCTGGTCCCGCCGCAGGCACTCCCACAACATCTGGCCGGAGCCTTGGCCTTGGCGGCTGGAGCTCACCACAAACTTGTCTAGATACTGGGTGCCCCCCAGTACGGGCTCCGTGGTCAGAATGGCGGCCGCGTTGTACCTGGCACAGCGGGGGAGAGGCAGGCTGGGACCTCTCCTTGGCCCTGCGCCGCCCGGCTCCTTCCCTCCGTCCCTGCTCTCTGGGGCGGCAGGCTCACCCCTCCGAGTAGTAGACAGAGTGCAGCCGTGGGCGCAGCGAGGCCAAGTAGTCATCCCGGAGCTTCTTGCCGAAGCTGGCGTTGACCAGGTTCACTAGGCGGCCCTGGTCCAGGCTGTCCAGGCTGCGCACTCGCAGCATCCGCTCGACGTTCTTGAACAGGGTCCCGGACCCTGGGGGTGGGATGGAGGAGGAGGGGTTAGTTTAGCCCGAGAGCCAGGACCCATCCACTCCTCCGTTTGCGCGGCCTGGTGGGTTCCAGAGAGGACTGGGGCTGGCGGGACAACTACTCTTTTTGGGAGATCTCCACAATGAAAGGCTTTCTGTAGTCTGCGTAGATTTGTATGTGATTTTCACTCGCTTTTCCCAGGCAGTTTGTCCCTCAAGTTCCGCCCACCGCATGTAGTCCCACCTACCTCCCCTATCTCCCGAAATCCTCTCTCCCCGCCCCTGGTCCCGCCCACCCATCCAAATCTCGCCCACCTCTGCTAGCCCTGTCCATTCCACTTTGTTCCGCTCCCCCAAGTCCCGCCCATCTGTCTAGTTCCACCCAAGTTCCAGCCCAGTCCGATCCACCTCCTTGCTCACCAGGTTTCGACCGAGGTGCAAGCCTTTGCTGTGGCGTCCCCCTTCGGCTTCCTTACTGGCGGGGAAGCCGCTTCTCCTGCTCATCCACACCTGGGCGCGCCAGTGCTCACTCCCAGAACGCAGCACCGCCCCCTCACGCCCTTCCCGCCCCCCCAAACCCCGGCCCCGGCCCTCACCCTTGTTGCTGAAGAGCTCGGTGAGCAGCGTGCTGGCGGCGGTGATGACGGCCGAGGAGTGGTGGGGTAGGCGGCTGAGCACGTCCACGATGAGCCGCATCTGCTGCCGTTCCTTGGTGCTCACCCACTCGGCGTTGGTCACCAGGTCCAGATCGGCGGGCAGGTTCACGTTACTCAGGACCTGCGTGCGGAGCGAGGGGTGAGCCTCCGGCCCACAGCCGACCATGGACTGCGCGCCTGCCCCAGGGACCCCTCCTCACTGACCCCTTTACCCTTACTTCCTCCCGGACTCCTCGGCCAGGGAAGGCTGAGATGTGGGCACCACAGGCTGAGCTCCTCCCTGACACTCCATCCCCGACCCACCCGGCTTGAGAGTGACTCTAGGGCCCGTCAGGGAGGCGTACAGGGAGCGCAAAAGAGGAGCTCAGCCAGGCCCCGAGTCGCGGGGAGTGGAGCCCGAAAGGAGGGGACACACCTTGTGACTGCTGTCGCGCAGGCCGCCTGTGTTATTGAGGAAGATGATTTTGGTGGGCTGCAGTGCCTTGGCCAGCGCCGCGGTCACCTCTAGCGAGTCGAGGAGCACGGAGCGGCGCGCAGCCGTCTCCCCGATGGGGCACAGGATTGGGATGCTGCCCGACTCCAGGCACCACTGTAGCAGGTCGGTCTCCACCGAGACAACGCCGCCATAGCTGTGGGCCAGACGTGGTGCTCAAGAGGGCTCTCTGCAGGCCCGCCGGGCTGGGGCAGGACGGGCACAGTAGCGAGTTCTCAGGACGCCGGGGACTGCAGGGCCAGCACTAACCTGGCATGAGGGGCTGGCTCAGCGGCGCCCAGCACCGACCCGCCTCCAAAAAAAGGCACGGCAGTGACGGCGTTGTGCCGCAGCGCGTCCACCAGCACCTTGCAGCTCTGGGCAAGCTGTGCCTTGGCCTCCCAGAAGGAAAGACAGCCCGAGGGCGCCGTGGGAGCGGGCAGCCCCAGGACCACCAGCGGCTTCATGTCCATGCGGTGCAGGAAGGCCAGGGCGAAGGCCAGGCTGGATGCGGACGGCGGGCACTTGATTACCTCCTCGTCCACCTGCGGAGGAGTGAGTGCTCAGGAGGTGCGACACGGGCCCTCGGGGCCCCTACCCTGTCCAGGAGCTGTCAGGTCCCATTTCCGGCCACAGGAGCCTACCTGCTCCGCCCTTTGCCCCACTGGGTCTTGTCATCCCCTTATCTCACACTAGTGTTCCTCCCTCGGCTCCTCCCTGCGACCTTGGACTCTAGAACACCCTGGGGGGAGGAGTGACGCAGGTGGCTCCTGTCCAGGTTCCCCACTTGCCATCTGAACGCCTAACTGCACTTATGGTGGGGTACTTCTCAAGCGCATCACACTCGGCAGGTTAGGGTCCCTACGCTCCTCACCCGGGCTGGGCGCGAGACTTGGAAGAGCACGCAGCCTCGCCCAGTCCCGGGCACCCCTCTTGGCTCCGTCGTGCCCCTTCCCTGTTCCGCTGCGCAGTGTCCGCGGCCCGTCCTGCCGTGCCTGGCGACATGTCGCCACACAACCCTCATCCCCTCGCTGTGACATGGCCGACGCTCACCTCGACGACGGCGAAGGGCTTGTTAGCGAAGCGGTGGCAGGTCTGGAACTGCGTGAGCCAGTGGCGCGCCTCGCCCAGGCTGGCCCCGCACTGGTTCAAGAAGGCTTGGATGTCCCGCTGCAAGAGCGAGCGGCCGGCCGCGGGCCCGGGAGGTTCGGGGGGCGCAGGGGGTGGCGTCCACGACGGCTTCTCCGCTGCAGGCGGGTGGTCGTCCTTCTCCGCGCCCTCGGTCTCCTCTCGTGCGGGCTGGGCCGGTGCCCAGGCCGTGCTGAGCCGGCGCCCCGGGCTGGCGCTCCTGGTCGCCCGCCGCCGCGCGCTGCCGCTCAGCCTCCGGGCTCCCCCAGTGCCTCGGGGGCCGCGCAGCCTCCCGCCTGCAGTAGCCCGTAGGGCCCAGGCCAACTGCGCTGTCGCCATGACAACCAACCAAACCCGCTCGCCCCCCCACGAGTGACCATCTGTCCGAAGCTGCGGGCTCTGGGGAGGCTCTTAACCTGCCGCGGGGCCGGGCTGGACCAGCCGGGGCGGGGCGCGCACAGGGGGCGCGGAGTCGCCTCTGGGAGCGGTTGAGGAGGGTCAGGCCATGGGTCAGAGGGCGGGGCCGACAGGATCCCCCGCCCCTGGGGGGGACGGAACCCAGTAGCGAGGGCCACGAGACCTAGATCAAGGGTGGCGGGGCGTCTTTAATCTGCTGGTAAGGCCAGTTCCAGGAAGGGCTCAGGGGACGCAGGGGTGGGGTTGGCGGTCTGCGGGGTCTTGGTTAATTAAAGGGGAGTATGACCAGGGCAAGAGGGGAGAGCAGGTGGCAGTTACTGCTTGACTGAGGAAGGAGACTGGAAGGAGAGGCGGAGGAAGAGTGAAGGAGGCTAGAGGAGTACCATTCCTGCTGGAGGGCGGGAGGCCTTTGTCCTGCAGTCTGAACTCAGAGAAGATCGGAATCATGAGACTACCAGAGTTTGCCAAACTCCAGCCACTGGGTACCACCTTGAAGAATTCTGTCATATCCTCAAATCACCCCTTAGTAGTAGTAAAGTCTTTCTTTGAAGTTTTTTTGATGAGGAAGAGTGGCCCTGAGCTAACATCTGTGCCCATCTTCCTCTACTGTATATGCCGGGCACCTGCCACAGCATGGCTTGATGAGCAGTGTGTACGTCTGGGCCGGGGATTCGAACCTGTGAACCCTGGGCCGCCAGAACAGAGCGCTCGAGCTTAACCACTACGCCACTGGGCTGGCCCCTCTTGAAATGTTTTAAATTTAAAATTAATCCATGTCACGATTGTAACTAGAAGGCCAGTATCACAGGTCATAAATAGAAGAAAGCCTTAAGAATAAAGCAAGAACAAAATGTTATTGAATCCCAGCTAGATAGTGGTGCCTGCTCTCTTGGTGACAGAGTTTAGTAAGTACAGATATTAAAGATACCCTAGCACCCTGTGAGGCTTACTCCTGGGTAGAATAATAGCTGATACATGTAGAATGCCAGGCACTGCGCAAAGTACTTCACAAATAGCAACTCATTTAATCCTCACAATGACTCCAGAATAGGTGTTATCATTATGCCCATTTTATAGATGAGGAAATTGAGACAGAAATATGTGCGGGCCAAGGTCGTTCAGCTTGTAAGCAGTGGAGCTGGTCTTTGAAGCAAAGCAGTTCTGCTCCAGATCCATCTTCTTAAGCAATATTTGAAAGGGACTTGAAAACTCTCACAGGATGTGATTCACTGTTACTTAATACTGTATCCGTATGCTGCCTAAAAGCACCCATGTGCTCTTAGCTGTACATACCCTACACTGGGGTGCGCTCTGATGGAATCCCGCCCTCTGTTGTTATAGAGGACGAAACCAAGGGTAGAGGGGCGGTGACGTGGCAGAGGTCACAGAGCTTGTTAGTATCATGGCCAGATCTTAGGTATCCTAAATTCCTACCCCTGCTCTTTTTTTCCTTATGCGCAGCTCCCTGCTGCCCACCCCCCTCCTTGCCCTCCCTGCTAGAAACCAGGACTCTAGGGGCTCCGCCTGAATAGGGAGCAGTGGCCTGAGCTGCTTCTCTCCTGTGTATCCCAGAGGATGCTGGATGAGTGCACTGACCCCTTCCTAGGATCCCCCGCCAACACATACATGCACACAGGAACACTTGGGCATTCAGGTACAGCTCGTGCACGTGCTGTTCCAGGCGGGAGACTCCTGGCAGGGGGAGGGGGGAGCTGACCTTTGTGACCTCCTCCATTGACTTTTCCATTTTCCTACTTCGAAATCCTGGATTCCAACAGGCAGTGAAGCCATGGCATGGAGGGTCTGTACCCCCTGTAGGGGGAGTACAAGTGTGGGGCCACCTCCAGGGTCTTCTTTCTCTTCCCTCTTTACTGCTGCCCCCTTCCCCCATACACTTCCCAGAATCCACCAAAGGAGGTGGTCCTAGCCCCTGGGGGCATAATCGTTTTCCTCCCCTCTGGCCTCAGAGCCCCCAACCTCAAATGTGCTTCCCCTGCCCGGTCTCTCCGTCCATGCCCCTCCTCAGAGCACGCACACTCCCTGGCCCTCTCGGCTCAGGATTCCCCCTTCTCCGCCTCTCCTGCTGTTGCTGCTCTGGTCTCTGCCTCTGCCCTGGCCTCTCATCACTCCTTCCAACCCAAATGCATGCCCTTCCAGGTCCTTTCTCCCCAGCTGTGGCTGACCCCTGCCTTCTGCCAACTCGGGGCCCCTGTGAGGGCAAGGATGGCCTCTCCCTTCAGACTGGGGCTCCCTGAGGGCAGAGCTGATGTATCCCTCCTCAGGCTGGGGGTTTCCTGAGAGCCCACTCATTTCAGTAGCCAACAGCATCAGCCTCATTTATCCCGGGCTGGTGGGACAGACACTGGCTGTGGACCTGCTTCCCGCTTCTTTGGGTTTTAGCCCAGAGGGCCGTGTCCCAGGCAGCCAATGGGGCCTGGGGATACCCCGAGTAGATGATTAACTCCAAGCCCAGTGACCCTAGGGCCACTGTGTCCCTACTGCCTCTCCCTGGGGGAAGGCCAGCCTCTGGTTGGGGAACTGGCTCTGCTTTCTGGAGGAGATGAGTGTGGGTGTTTGGGGTCAACACCCCTACCTGACCCCCCACTCCTCTGAGCTGAAGGTCTACAGGATCATTGTTGGTCTGTGGTTCCAGCTCAAATTTTCTTCTTTTCCCTTCTGAAGCTGGATATTGTTTTGTTTTTCAGAGCAAAGCCTGTTGTCAATGTGTCCAGAATTGAGCTCCTGGCTTTTCACCAGGCCTTGGGTCTTGACGATGCTGGGAGCAGACACAACCTTCCAACCCCTCCAGGCACCTCCCCTCAACAGGGCCCTCAGCCCTGAGCAGAGCTGATTGGAAGGGCCAAGGCTGTCCCTCCCATTAGAGCCCTCCTTGGCTGCCACTCAGTATAGGTGGGCATGGAGGTGACAGCAAGCTGGGCAGGTGAGCAGCCAGGGCTGACAGCTGACAGTCCCAATCACAGCACCTGAAGGGAAACACACACAGATACACAGAGTACACAAATGTAGAGACCCACCCCATCCACTGAGATGCACACAGATACCCAGGTGTACAGAGATACACAGAGCACACAACGTTGAGACCCACACCATCCATAGTCACACAGACTTTCATGTAACATACAGATACACGTGTGTAGACACACAGGTGCACAGAGGCACAGGTCCTCTCAGACATACGTTTGCACACAGAATTGTGTGTGTTTACAGAGGCTCTCTCAGCGGCTGTGTCATACATAGGAACACACATACATGCATGGAAAGATACCGAGAACACACAAATATACACCCAGCTATAGTCACTGACAACTACAGGGACAAATGTACACAGACTCATGTACACACACACACACACAAAACATACAGAGTTAGAAGCAGACACACCCCCTCGAGACCATACCCATCTATCCACATGCAGAGGCACACGGCCACACTCATTCACATGCCAGAATGGTGTCTTTTTTGAGAAAAAACCCCACAGCTTTTTTGAGCACTATGTGCTAGGCATTGAACTGGGTGCTCTGAGGATGCAGTCCTATTTTTCCTGGCTGGAAGTCAGGAGGCCTGGGCTCTACCACTTCCTGGGCTGCAAGGTTAGGGCAGGGCATTTAACTTCTCCAAGCCTCAGTTTTCTCCCTGTAAAACAGAGGAAAGAGAATAAAACTTAATCTCATTTCCTTGTGGTGAAGAGGAAAATTTCTCTGTGGGCGCGCAATCAGCAAAATCTAGACCACAGACCACAGAAACCTTATAAGACAAACAACCTGGTTTCTTCAACAAATAAATTGCAAGGAAAAGAGTAGGAGAGGGAAGGGTGAGCATACAGATTAAAAGATGTATTTTTATTATTATTTTTTTTGTGAGGAAGATTAGCCCTGAGCTAACATCTGTCACCAATCCTCCTCTTTTTTACTGAGGAAGATCAGCCCTGGGCTAACATCCGTGCCCATTTTCCTCCACTTTACATGGGACGCCGCCACAGCGTGGCTTGACAAGCGGTGCCTCAGTGCGCGCCTGGGATCCGAACCTGGGCGGATGCAGCAGAGCACCTGCACTTAACCGCTACACCACAGGGCCGGTCCTGAAAGATGTATTTTTAAAGTCTCTTTTAATCCTTATTTGGATTCTGATTCAAACAAACCATAAAAAATTAGACAATTGGGGAAATTTGAGCACAAAGGATATTTGATCTACTCAAAGTTCAGGTGCGATAATGATTGTCTATGTTTTTATAAATATTCCATATCTTTTAGTATATATACTGAATATTTATAGATGAAATGATAAGAAGCCTTGAATTTGCTTCAGCATAACCCTGGACTGGAGAAAGGGGGTGGAGGAACAGATGCAACAAGACTGGCCGTGAGTTAGGAGTTGATAATTGTTGACACTTGTTGATGATGGGTGCAGAGGATTCATTACACTCTCTCTGGACCTTTATGTACGTTTGGACATCTTCAAAATAAAAAAGATTCAATGAATTCCCAAATGTGAAAGTTCCCAATCTTACATAATGTAAAAACTCAACAAAAGCTAGTTTGCTTCTTCCAGGCATAGTTTTCTTCCAAGGCATAAATAGGTGAAATAGTAAATACTTCACAGATACATGGTTCAAAGTAGAGAGGAAGAAGTCTTCGGTACGATTTTCAGTTCTGAGCATGCCATGAGCCTCTTGTCCAGCAGGGGGCTCCCTACTCTCAGGATGCTGCCCTGGAGTTTCCTAAAGGGAAGAGATTATCAGCCGTGTAAGAGATGTCGGAGATAGGTTAGCATCTGATAGAGACCTTCTGTCTGAGATGATTAGAAGAAAACAGAGAGAGAGAGAGAGAGAGAGAGAAGAATTTGTCCACAACCCTATGATAGGAAGGGTCTTTCTTCAGTTTACAATCTCTGGGGATCAGGGGCACTTAGGAAAGGCTACTGTCTTGAAGATAGTAATAGCAAACCCTTCCTCAGGTACTGTTCCAAGCACGTGATATGTATTAACCTATTTAATTCTCACAATAACACCATGAAGTAGACGTTACTGTTATTACAGAAATCCTAGGAGGCTGGTTTTAGACAGGTGGAGGTAGGGTGCTTTCAGGGCACAGGTAGAGCTTCCTGCAGACAACCAGAAGAGGGGCCTGGAGCTCAGGAGAGAGGTCAGGATGGAGAGGCCCTGGAGAGGTGGTAGACGAAGCCCCTGAGCGCAGGCATGAGCTGCCAGGGAGGGGCTCTAGAAAGAAGAGCCCACAACGGAGAGGTTGGAGGGGCCGAGTGTAGGAGGCCCACAAGGAGTCACTCAGAATCCACAGGTGGAGATGCTTCAAAAAGGAAGGGGCAGCCCACAGTGTAGATGCCTCAAAGCCTGAGAAAAGGCCATTGGCTTCACTCATCAGGGACTTTTCCATTTCACTGGGGCGGTGGGGAGCTAGGATGGGGAAGCCAGGTGGCAGAGGGTTGGGAAGAGGCCTGGGATGAGACCATAGCATGGAACCCGTGGGGAAACTGTGGCTGGAGAAAGCAGAGTGTCATTACTCA